CAGGTTCAAAACTATACGCAACCGCCATTACATATCACTTATCCAGATGTGAAGGAGTCGTAAGGAGCATAGCACAGAAGGAGCTGTCGTTCGAACATGACAGCCCCTTTCCCACCCCTGTTATCTCATGTCGTAGAAGGCAAAGAAATAGAAACAATATAGGGAAAAAAAGAAACATATAATTTTCAATTATCCAATGTATCAATAAGAAAAGATTCACACAATTTATGTAGATTTTAGACCACACAATCTGGTAACAAAAGCAGTGATGACTAGCTCTCCTTCGAGTACAGAGCACCATTCCACGTCTTTAGTTTGCTATCAGGGATGGGCGGTAGGTGCAAATATGTGCCGTGCGAACGCACCACCTCTTTGGATCCCGTCATTAAGCACGAAAAATTTCCACCGCCTGTGAAATTAGTGACAATGATATTTCAAATTCTAGTTCCTTAATAAGTATGAAGGCAATAGCTCCAGAAAAAATAGTCTGACGCCAATAACAGCAGTATCTGTTACTGATTCCGAGACGGTTCGCCTCCGAGAATACCCAAAGAGATTTACACGAGCTTTCAAAAAAATGGTAAAAGTATATGCATAAATTAGCATAGTAATGAGTCTTTTTTCCGGATGAGAAGAAAAATGCCGTTCTTTATTTTTCCAACATCACATATAAAATGGATAGTAAAGCAAGCAGGAAAATGTGAAAGAAACAGAAAGATTTGATAAGAAGCCACAATCAGAGTTGTGAGAGACCCCTCCATGGACTATCAATCACACGATAAGATTTGAAAAACAGATATGCAGATATCATTGCCATTTACTTGGAAGGTTTATTCAAAAAAATCACGAGCTCAAAACTGAAACCTTTTTCACCTCCATGCTGCAAGGGCCACCCATAAGCATAGCAGCATCTACTTAACAAAAGTATACGAGAGCACCAGGTAGTGAGAAAAAATTCAAGGCACTTTTAAAATAATTGCATAGATCGAAGGAAAAGACGCTATTTACTTCCACACCAGTAACAGTCTGCAATTGCGTACTAGTGACAACTACTGTAACTCTACGCTTACTTTTATCCAATTTCGTAGACTGTCTTGGGTGACTTCATATGAGTAGTTTCGCAATAAGGGTAAAGAAAACAACAAACAAAAAACGTGAACAACAAGCATTCATAAGTGAAAAAAACATGTGAACATAAAGTGGGCAACGTTATAATGTCTGAATATCGAAGTATCAACGAATTGACAAAAAAATTTGCCACAATATGGACAACGCTCACCTTTCCTACAAACTACTGTCTGCAAGCCTTCCACATTAGTCAAAAGAGAATGTCTTTTTTTTATATTTTTCCAAGTACTGCAAGAGAATGTAGAGAGGCTGTATGGATCCACAAGTGGACATAATGATAACACCAGTTGGGCTATGCATGCTAACGCGCGCATCATGTTAATTAATCATTTAATTGAAGTGGATTCGCAGTGCTGTGATTATGTAGTCAAAAGCAACGCTCGACATAGAAGTTACTTTGATGATTGGCTCATAGAATTTGGCTTCGTAAGAAAGTGGAAAAAGCTCATTCTATTGCTACTATCAATTGGATGTGCTTACCATCTTTGTGAGAAAGGCAAAAAAGGCCTAGTGACTCTGTATATCTTAAGGAGAAGCAGGCTGCAAGAATAGGTGGATGCTATCAATGAACATCCATGATATATAAACCACTAACTTGTGTGTCTGTTTGTATGCCCGTTTGAGCGTCCGCCATAGGCACGATAAGGATTCACGTGAAATAACACGTAAGCTTGGTGGAGAAGTAATATCCTACTTATATAATCGGCTAAGTGTGTCTGTTGGTGGGTTTGTGTGTGTGTCAGTATGTGTGTGTGTGTTTGTCTGACCTAAAACTCATAACTCCTGGCCCACTGAACCTAGAACATTCAAATATGGAAGAGAGATAGGCGGCACGATGGGAACAGCGATGGTAAGTAATAGGAAGTGACAGCAATCAACAAACAGATAAAGAGCCTTAAAAGACAAAAGCCACAGGGTCCGTAACTCCGTTTGTATTAGCGGTGAAGCCGTGGCACTTTTGCAAGTGGTGTAGGGTGCGGAAGGTCCGTTAGTGATTGGTGACAGAGAATGATAGCAAGTGATAGGGACTGACAAGAAGCCATAGAAGGCGAGGGCCTGTAGGTCTGTGACGCGCTTCCTGTTAATAGTGGAGTCTTGGTATATCAGTAGGTGACGTAAGGTGTGACAGGATTGTAGGTACTCGGTGACGGGATCGAGAACGGTTGGTGCCAGGCCAGGAGCTGATAAAACTGATAAGGGCTAATGAGAATCCTGGAAAGCGTAGAGCCACTATAATAATGGCATTAATAGTGGTGCCATGACAGTTTGGCGTGTGACGTGGAGTATGGCGAGTTCGTAGACGACCGATGATAGGAACTGATAACAGCTGATAGCGACTGATAAGAGCACTTACCAATTGAATTTAACTCCTATGGTATTAACGATGTATTTATGATTACGACTATTATATAGATTACGACCGCTACCCAGCAGGGTTTGTAACTCAGTGGAAAAGGTTACTTGATGTTTTGATATCATTCACGACAAAGCTCATCCGACCGCCAATAATTTGGGATTCTCAACTAATGATGTACCCGTGGAGGGAAGAAGGTCCAGTGATAACGAAATCTTATATGGTGTTATTATCACTTGAGAACATTAGTGAGTACTGCTCAATTCATTGGTTGCCTATCAGTTAAACCTTTAATGATTCATAATTTTCAAGATCAAGAGCAACCGATTGACACTTTTAATCGTAGGCGTATGCGTGGGCATGTGGTGCACGCATTGGCGTGCGTAGCCAAACTGGTCTGAGGATATATCATTAGCAGTGGCTACTACATTATTTGCGGTTGGATAAGTTTTGTAGCGAATAAAACAAAAGCAAAGAGGAACCGTGATCCCTCACTGAGTCGCAAACCTTGCTGGGGAGTACTCATAATAGATCACTGTGCTTACTACAAACTTTTTGTCACCCTACTATACCATCCCGCCTTATCTAGTGAAATATACAAAGAACAAAAACTATATACCTTTAGCACACACTAATTTCTCCGTCGGGATTCTATTTCGTGAATGGGTCTTGCTTTTTGGGGCCATTATCAGCTCTTATCATTTGTTATCAGATCGATCCCGTCACATCTCACATGTCACATGTCTTCCCACCACCTATTATCAGAATTCCCATCATGTTACCTGTATGCTTATCGAATTTGAACGCTCTAGGTCCACGGGAACAGGAGCTATGATTTCTCGCGCAAGCCCTGCCTCCTGTGGGCGGAGTCTGATTCTGTCATCTACCATGAGTATTCCCATCCTGCCTCTTGTACTCTCATTATATTTGAACGCTCTAGGTCCACGGGGACAGGAGTTATGATTTTTCGCTCCAACATTTACTTCGCGCAAACCCCGCCCATTGTTGGCGGAGTTCGGTCCTGCCACCCACCATTCGTGTTCCCACCGTGTCGCCTGTGCTCCTAGCAAATTTGAACGTTCTAGGTCTACGGGGACAGGAGTTATGAATTTCCGTGCAAACAGACAGATGTACAGAAATCAGACTCGAGCGCTAGTAAGGATGTTTTTTTATTTGCATATTTGTACCAAGTTTCACCTTCAACTATAATACATGAGCAATTATTGCACATTTGATATAATGTCATTTCCATAAAATCACATTTAAAGCTTTAATTAAAATACTTAAATAAGATGCCGGCACATATGGTCATCATTGTGAAGCCCTGCCAGCCTCGTCAAAGAAAGCATAAGACTCTGACTTTGACAACGAATGGCCTCAAAATGTTTTTTGCTGGTCTTTCCCAATATTCAGAATACGTGAAATTCAAAGTTACGCTCAGTTATATTCTGTTAGTTATGCTTACCTTTATCCAAGTTCGTAGACACACTAGAGTGATTCGTATGGGATTGCACATGAATAGTTTCCCCGTAAGCTTTTAACTTTTTCTTCAGCGTTGATTGTCTACTCATCTTTATTTGGAGCGGGTGTGTGTACATTCGTGCGATTCGAGCTGCAAACTGCATGGCGAAATTCATAGCTATTCTGACGAATTTAGCGCCTATTACTGTGGCCCAAATTCGCAGTAAAGTAGATTAGTAGGATTAGCCGACCATACTAATCTACACTACTTCAAGTTTGTGCCCCAATAATAGGTGCCAGGGCCGTTCAGAAGGCCACAAACTTCGCCGCGCGCAGCTCGAATCGCACCAATGTACCGTCCCCCATTTGGAGCTTTCCTACTTTTATTCCTTGTCGTAATTGCCGACTGCTACCGCCCTATGGTTGCTGGAATGTTGTCAACCAAAACTTCTCTTGTTCTATCAGCCTTCAACGTCGCAAACGACGACCGATCGACCGACGGCGGCGCTAACCACGAGTTGACAACGCAGAAGACCAGCATTGTCAGAACGTGGCCAGCCGGCGCCATCGGTTGGTCGGAAGTTGAACTCCGAAAGCAGCCAACGTATGTGGCAAAAGACTACCCAACAATTCTTAGGGAAGAAAAAGACATCGTCCGTTACATTATCCATCCAACAAACTGTCTACGCAACAGTCAAAAAACACTTAACATTTATACTTGGAACAGCAAATGGATGATTCATAGTGGTAGGGAAGTTGAACAGAGAAGGAATACCTTAAATGGTTGAGTGACAGCAAAGTAACGAGAGATAGTAGTTAGCGCGCCATAAACTCAAAGAGCATGTTCTCTGGGCGGGCAATCAATACTCGCGCTAACTACCGAAGTTCCCTATGAAGAGCAAGGAAATACAACGCTACGTACATCAGCGTGAATACAACACTGAGTCGTTACAGAACGGATAGTAAGATAGAAAACAAAGGGTTAGAAACACAGTACTTTATGTAGATGAGTTCATATACAACAGGCGCAATAGGGCCCAATAATACAAAGACCAAATTAGATCATGTCCGCGATATTCATCGGCATTTCATCAATCTGCGTTGAATAGTACTGTTCTATATCGCGAAGAATACGTACATCATCGTGCTTCACAAAATTGATAGCTACACCCTGCAAAGTGTTTAAGATTCATTCGGTCTTATGAAATTTCCCTGAATCGACTGCGCCAACCTTTCTTCCGAAACGGCCCGAGCGACCAATACGATGAATATACAGCTCACGATTATTGGGAAGGTCATAATTGATTACCTTAAGTTGAAAGATTGACAAAAAATAACCTTACAAGTGAAATCGAATTCAAATTGCAAAAAGATATCATACAAGGGAGACTTGAGGGACATCAAGGCCACGTGCCCATACATCAGTCGAAATCAATACTCGGCTGTTTCCAGCTCGGAATTCCTAGAGCATCATTGAGTGCATACGATACAAGAAAGCAAGTGTAATCAAGAAAAATACATCTAAAATGTGCTTACCTTCATGATTTGTTCACGCTCCTTCTGTTCCATGTCACCATGCATGGACGAAACTGTGAAATTCGCCTCCTTCATTTTTTCAGCCAACCAGTCGACCTTAAACGCAGAATAATTTCGAAAATGCCTGGCACTGACGGAAAGCCGTGAAGGAACTGGGTGGAAGTGAGGTATGATATGCCAACGGAATGATATCCCAGAATAGGAAGAGTAGCTGTACTGTCGACTTCACAGGTACTATTCACGAAGAAGATGGCTTTTGATATATCACCCTAAGATTGATGTGAGTTCCTCTCGCATGCCCTATGTGGCGTTGTCAAGGTGAAAAAACGGCTTACAATCAGATAAGGCGTTACAACTGCTGCAGAATGTATTGGTTGTGTGTCAAACCAAGCAAAAGAGTTTTCACTGCATTGTGGAAGCTGCACCATTCATAACGGACACCTATGTTGAAAATTGAAACAGTTATTGTGATCCAAGGCGGCAGTGCAATGCCGTTTGGAAATTTTTGGTATAAGGCAGTCACCTCTTTACGCAGTTGCAACAACTAGATCTCGCCCGAATACACCTATGCCATTTCCGACATTTTATCGTACAACCTCTACTTTTACTACTTTCAAGAAGCCTTCTCACTCGTAAAATCGGCACATTTTCAAGCTTTTTCGGTGCCGATGCGCTGTTCTCAACTAACAGTTCCCCCTGTCAACTTAAAAAGGGTGTTCAAAACTATTCTGAATTATGCCTTTGGAGACGACTGAAATTCGATCGATCGAACTATTCCAGTGCACAGTTATTTTAAAAGCTGACGACAGCGCGGCTCAACGGTTCTCATTGGTTCCTTTACTTGCTTATTTATTTTTTCTTGAAGTTTTTTTTTTCATTGATGAATCCTTCAAATAATATTATACACAAAATGAGTTGAGAAAAACACTATTTTCTGGACGCTACTTTACTGCATACAAAAAGTTCGATCATGCTGAGAATCACATTTCTGTGCGTTTTTTGTCAACGCAAAAATGAGTTTTACATATACTGCATCTAGTATTGATGCGCATTGTAACGCTGGAAGCCTAAACACGTACATATTTCGAGATAGATGTTTGTAACAAACCATACGTATTCTAGGAAACCAGGCGGCTACACACGCTATATGCGCTAGGGGCTCTAGCCGTTAGTGACGGAGTCACATAATCTGATTTTCATTAGAGACCTTTATCATCTGGCCTCTTCCTTGGCACTTCTGCAGCGGCCATCATTTTTTGGGATGTGAAACGGGGCTGTGCGTGGCAATGAACACTAACTTCGAAAGGAAAGCCCTTTGAATTGTTGTAGGGGCCTTGACTTCTTTTGAAAGAGTTAAGTGGTATCCCCTAGTTGTACACCTATGTGGTCAGGGTTAGTGAGGACATGTGTATAAATTTTTGATCTCAGCACCGCCCCCTTCTTTGCAAACCCTACTGACTTCAGACTTCGAACGACATTACTTTCATTACCTTCAGACACCTTTTTCCCTCGTTCTCAAACCTGAAGAGACTTAGCTGTTTTGATGTAGCCCACTTCAGTGCCAATCCCGCCCACTTGTGCAATCTGACCACATTTGTTCTACTACATCTTACCACTTTTTTCCCGCCTTCCACAACGTTTCTACAGTTATAAATTTTTGTCTAAGCCCCGCCCACTTTATTGCCAACTCCCCCACTTGCGGAATCTGACC